GGGTTTAGGGTTTAGGGTAGTAGTATGTGTAATGAACCCTAAACCCTAAAACCCTAAACCCCTAAACCCTTAAATGTGGTACCTAGTAGTCTAGTATGAGTAGCATACCAAAGAACAGTCGAGGCTAGTCTAGCATAAATCCCGGTTGTTTACTTCAAGCTTTGACATTGTATGACAGATTCAATGCAAAATCACAGTCAAGAGTTAATGAAAGCCGCACTGTACGTTTTCGCGCCAAGAGCCCGTGCTCGTCTTGAGGCCATGGATGCAGCGCAAGAGGGTGCGGTCATGGCTTTGGCGGAGGCCCAAGTCAGGGTGTTCCCATGGCTGCAGAGTTCGAGGTGTGGGATGTGTACAGCCCGCACCTGTGGCATCCTGATTTCTATAAGCTCTATAAATCAAGACAAGTACAAGGATATGTTGACAAAAAGCAAAGCAAACAAAGCCGTCCAGGGAAAAGCAGCCTCAACCATGGGCACAACTATCAACTCCTCAACCGCACTACCCTTAGTGTGCAGTGTGCTTTGTGAGCCCTGTATCTTTTTCAAACAAGACACGACATTATGCTGGGTCCCAGAAAGCGTTTTTGAAGCCTGGGTCGCGAAAGCATTCAATACCCCAGCAGGCTGTGCATCTACGTTCTATCAGCCTCCTGGCTCCACTCTTTAATCCCTTAAAGGCTGAGTGGCCCTGCCATGGGAGGCCGGGCATCAAGAAGAGCCCACGACCTCGGGACTGGAGCGCTCGGCACTGACGCTGGGCCCGGACTCCGTCCCTTTGTTCCCCATAGCAGGTCCCTTTGCGAAGTTCTGGTTTCTGACTGCTGGAGAGAGGAGTAGGTAGGTCCAGGTAGGCGCCTTCAGCCGAGAATCGCCAGAGTCGAGGATTCATTCCAGGTTCAGCCTGGGGTGGAGGAGCCGTTCATTTATTCCGGGCTGTTCTTCGTGCTTAGATTAGATTTTTTTGTTTCTGCTTGGGATGAGTGTCCCACTTGCTCTCAGGCTTGCAGTGGCAGGCCTGACGAGGCTTATGTGGATCGCTATCCACTAACCTGAGCGGTCCAGGTCCTGAAACCAAAACCGTTAACGAACGCAGAATGTGCATGTGTCGTGGACATGTGTTGATGTATGCATGCATGCATGCATGCATGCATGCTTTCATGGATGGATGCATGGATGGATGGATGGATGGATGTGTCCATGTATGTGTCTATGCATGCATGCATGCATGGATGGATGTAGGTACAAATGTGTGCAGTACTTCTTAACCTGCGTGCATGCGCATGCGTGATGAGTGTGCATTCTGCAGCAGGCCACCCAACGCTGGGTGAGCCCGAAGTGCCGCCGTTTGAATTGCTTTGCTTTGCCGGGACTGAGGAAGCGTCTTCTTGGCCAGCGGCTGTTGGATGCAATCCTCAATCGGAGGCAGATCTTTCAGGGAGGCTCTTACCGGACTGAAGGGAATGAGACGAAGGATGGAGGACGTGAAGACATAATCTGTCAGGTTCGACTTTTTCATCTTGGGTTTCGGGTGTTGAGGGAAGCATTTTGGCACGTACTACGAGAGCTTCTGCGGTGATGAGTGATGAGGGTCGGCTGACAGGGATGGACACGTATGCAAGTATGTTCGTTCTCTGCAGCACGACCATCATGTTGTGGATGTTGCGAGGGGCAGTTCGAGGTGACATGCCCCGTCTGTCCTTTAAGGGGCTGGATGGGCTGCATCTGCAGGTCTGTGCTGAGGATGTCAGATGAGCAGCCTCCATTGCCTGAGGCAGACTTTCTCCGGAGCCTCGGTTGCTTTGACTGTCGAAGACAGGTCAAGACGTCCAGAGCTTCCGACCGGAGTTCCTGTCGGTTCTTTTCTCAGCTCGGGCCGGATGAGCTGCCGAGGATCCTCCGCGTCGCTTGCACGGCCGTGCCGGAGCCACGCGCCGGGCGTCTGGCGGCTGGCACGGGCTCCGCGGTGCCGGGACGATATTGGAAGCTCTTGATTTGGAAGCTTTCGGTTGGTGTTTTGGGCTAACCCCGACCTGTGGATTTCTGCTTGTTTCTGCGTCGCCCGGGTTTATCCCGTGTCGGCGGTCTTGGAACTTGGAGGGTTGGACTGCCTCACGACGACCATCCTCTGCACAGCTAGAAGAGTCGAGGTGAACGTGCTACTGATGCTCCACAAGGTGGGTGGTTGTCAAAATTATGGTCTTTTTTTGGGTCCGTATTATAATACGGCACCTGTTATTTCGGGTGCCCCAAAAGGGACCCTAATTTTGACAACTACCCAGGTGCCTCAGACTCAGTTCGCGCTCTTGACATGGGAGACCCAGAGCTCCCCAGGTCTTGAGCCTTAAACTCCAATATATATATATATATATACACGGTTTAGGGTTTAGGGTTTAGGGTTCTGCTGCAAAAAAGGGTTTAGGGTTTAGGGTTTATCGGGCCCGAAGAGACCAAGGGAGTTCCTCGAGGCCCTTTCGAAGCTGCCTCTCTTCGGGTGCCTGGTTTTTAGCACATCTGGGCTTCTGCCCTACCCCAAACATTGGGTCATGGGTACTTTCTGTGGTCCTAAACTCAAACCCTAAACCCTAAACCCTAAACCCTGAACTGTTTTCACGTGGCACCCTTTTGTGGGTCGAAAGCGCAAAAAAGCAGGTGGAGAGCTTCCTGCAAGGGCTCTACGTTCTGACCCGTCAAAGAGGGTCGGAGGAGGCCTTGCTTTTTGGGCATCGCTGCTATCCGCTGGTGCTCACAGCATGAGTCAGTGACTGAAAGGTCCAGCTTTTTGGGTGGGATGTTTCGATGTGAAGTGTTGGGGTTTTCTGTTAGCTTAGGCTGCTCAGAGCCGAGAAGCTTCACCGAGGTGAGCAAAAGTCATTGGGGGAACATGGCTGGGCTGCATGAAGTAATTGCTGAAGCATGGCGGGCTTTCACGAAGTCGACACTTTCCACATGAGTGGGTTTGAAAGACTGATTTCTGTCATCCGAAGAGGAGCTCTTCGCCTTCGTGAAGGCGATGCCTGAGCGTGTGCATCGCAGCGACGCCTGGGCAGGAGGTGATCGAATGATGGGGGCGGAAGGTCTCTTTCGAGCTAGCCAGACGGGTAGGGTTTGATTTCGCATTAGTCGTGTGCTTTGTGCGAGCACGACCTGCTCGCCCCGCTAAAAACGCGATGCTAGCGAACCAAAAACGATTCAGCTTTTCATCAGCCCCCGAACTCGGGCAATGCTCGTTGAGACAAGGAGAGTGGGAGTCCTTTGGATCTGCCAGAAGGCGCCGGAGAATCTTGAAATTGGCCGCTTTCGACATCTTTCGTCTTTCTAGGGCCTCTAGGGCTTGCTGCAGGTCTGGAGTGTGTGCTTTCTTCGTGTGGACTTGGGATGGGGTGCTTTGGAAAGAGATGCTTGCCAGATGAAGAATATCTGAAACTCGTGTAACCACGGCCATCAGAGAATCAGTCTTGAACCGTCTCTGGCATCTGCGGAGGCTGCGCTCTGTGGGCGTTAGCCCGTCCGGTGCCTTGGAATGATTCAGGAGGAAGAAGCAACAAGCCTGCCGGTGGCGAGCTGAAGGGGGTGAGTTCTCGTGAAATTTAGAGGTTTGTGTTTCTCCGGCCAGAAGAGCTCGAGCTGCGGTACGATTCTCTGTGGCACACACCGTAGGCCTATTTTGATGCTTCCAACAGAAATTAGAGCTTCTGCACTGTGTGGATAATGCGTGGTTTGTAGTCACGACCATCGCTGCTCCGGTTAGCCAACAGCCGCAGAACGGGCCAGCATCACCAGCATCAGGCATAGCGTGGGTCACCAGCAGACAAAGCCAGGCCAGCATCATCAGCATCAGCCGCCGGTCGGGAGCACGGAAACCAAGACAGCATCATCAACATTGGCCACCACTCGGTTCACCAACAGATGAGACGAGATGAGCATCATCAGAATCAGCAACAGGCCAGCATCATCCGGCGGAAGCAGGCGAGCATCATCAGCATCAGTTGTCGCTTGGGGCCACCAACGCAGACAGACCAGACGAGCATCATCAGCATCAGATGTCTCTTGGGCTCAACACTGCTGACAGACCAGGCCAGCATCATCAGCATCAGCCGTCAATCCGGCAACAATCAGCGAGCATCATCATTGTATCAACAGACGAGCCTACCAGCATCATCAGCATCAGCCGTGGCTCAGATCAACCATTCACGCCAGCAGACCAGGCCAGCATCATCAGCATCAGCCGTCGCTCGGTGCCACCAGTGCAGGCGGGCCAGGCCAGCATCATCAGCATCAGCTGTCGGTTTGGTCACCTGCACACGAGGCCAGGTCAGCATCAGCAGCATCAGTGTCACTTCTTTCCACCGATCGGAAACGATCTACCGCAGACGAACCTATGCCAGCAGCAGCAGGAGCGCCATTCATTGCTCGCAGAATCTCGCAGCAGAAGAAGAACCGACGAGCATCATCAGCGTCAGCCGTGGTTCGGGCCACCAACAAACGAACATCATCAGCATCAATCGCCAGTCGGGGTCACCAAAATACGGAAATTGAGACTCAACATCAGCCGCCTCTCGGTTCACCAACAGACGGCAACGAGGTCAGCATCGTCAGCATCAGCCATCGCGTGGCATCATCCCGTGAGACCCATCCCAAAGCCCCTTCAGCCCAGGTCGACGTGCGTCATGCTGCGCAGATCTCGGCATGTGGGCAGGAATCAGGGATATAAACGGCTTCGCTTTTCAGAGTTCAAAGTTGCGCTGGGCGAGCCGTACGGACGTCTCTTGGGTTTAAATAGTGCCGAAAGAGCCGAGGAGGTGGCAGGCGCCGGGAGCTTTGCCGCCGCGTTCTTCGGTGCTTTCACAGGGTGGCGCCATCCGAGGACCTTGCGGGTGACAGGCGGCACTTACTGCAGCGATGAGGCCATCACCGTGTGTTGGTGGTGTTGTGCTCCGTGACAAGCACTGACACACGTCATGCCCGCATCGGGGTAAAGATTGTAGCATGGAATGTGGCATGTGCAAAAAGACCGATTGGGTCTTCGAGTGTGAGCGTTGCATGCTATCTTTCGAGATCCCTTCTAAATCTTTTTGAACAGTTATGCAGACCTATGGCTTTCAGCCCGCGCTCCGCGGACGAAGCTTCAAATTACCAGCGAAGGTTCTTGTGATATATGTCAATTGTTGTTTTTTGTCGATAGTGCTCTTCTGATGACTACTATATGAGGGTTATTGTGAGGATGAGGATGCTGACGGTGATGATGATGAACATCACTACTGAAACCCCGGCCTGCCGCTGTGTGTCTGGAGCAATCAGGAGATACTTGGAACTCCTCTGGCATGCTGGGGCCCTGGGCCATGTCTTCTACTTAGCCGCAGAGGCTCGGGGGCGAAGCTCAGGGATTTGGTGGTGTTGGAGTCTGAGATGGTAGCCATGATGGAGAGTGAGAGCACGAGTACTAGGTAGTTGTAGGCTGGCGGTTTAGGGAAGACTTCGATTTCATTTCCGTTCTTCTGATCTGTGGGAGTGTTCTCCTGCGAAGTGACAAGAGGCCGCAGGGTTCGGTGCCACAGGCTCCTGGGCAGCACATGGTGTTGCCTGTCTGTCCGCAGTACGGCTACAGCTACTGCTCTTGCTGCTACTACTGCTGCTACTACTACTACTACTACTACTACTACTGCTACTACTGCCACTACTGCTACTGTATCTGGTTGCTACTGTGATAGCCCCTTGTTTTCTTCCTTGCGTAGTCCGCAGCAAGCCTCTGATTCGTGTCACGCCGACCTACGACTATGGATCCTCGCCTGGCTTGTCCGAGTTGTGAGAGCGTAGCCCCTAAACCCTGTGAGTGCTGAAACCCTAAACCCTAAACCCTAAGCCATTCAGGGATGGGCTGCTTCATGGACGATATGGGCCTGGGCCTGCTGCGCGACCCTTGGTGCCCTCGCTGGAGAGGATGAGGGTTGCCGGTTAAATTTCTTCGATTTGAAAGGCTTCATGAAGTTCAACTAGGCTCCGATGCGGCCTGCAGTGTGCTGGGGGTCGTGGCATGGGTCACTCTGCTATGCAGGTCCATGGAGGCAAAGGGGGACAGTTCCTCGCAAAGCTTCTCAGCAGAGGACCCGCTCCCTTCTTCGCAGGTTTTGGTAGCCCAGGCCCAGGCCTTGTTGAGGCCTGGCTCTGTTTCCGATGTGCTTCCCTGTAGGACCCTTTATCCGATAGACCATTGAGGAACAAGAACAAGACTCTAAGAAGCAATGTGCTGTCAGACGCCATCGCCTCGTTTGTCGACCTGTATAAGTTTGGATCTGCAAGGCCAAGGCCCGAAACCCTCGTGACGAAGACGATTAAAGAGTCCAGAAGCGAAGAAAGGTAAAGTTCGTGCCGACACCCCTTCCGGACCAGCTTGCTGTTTCGGTTGGACTTACCTTGGGCTTGTCCCCTGCAATGTTTGCAAGTCCCCAAACTTGCCCCTGAACAGAAACCTTACTTACCTGAGCACCACCCACACGTGAGGAGTCCCAGCACCAGGTGCCACGGGAGGGGTGGCTTTGAGTTTCGTGGAGGGTTTTCTAATGGTTTTGCAGCATAGGGTGAATTGTCTTTGGTTGTGTCCGTGGGCTTCCGTGAGAATGGTTCTGTCGGTGTTGGGTTTGGGGTGGTCTAGCACCAGAGTGCCAGGTGCTGTACTATGTGACCGTGGGCAAGGCGAGTTCTGATCCGCGGCTTTTGAGCTTCGACCCCTACCAGCATCTGCAGGCTCCTTTCTGGGAGGGGTTGATGTTTCCGGACTGGGGACTTCGGGGCGGAAGAGCTGTAGGGGCATGGACCTCCCTGAGGAGGGCTTCTCCTACGAGGCCCTGCAGGGTGGCATGGGGCGAATCTTCCAGACGACCTGAGCAAGGGGGGTTTGGGCCACGCTAGAAATCGTCTCCGAGCATCGGCGGCGGCGGCGATCAGCGAACGGATGTGTACGTCAGCGAGGGCCGCCACGAATACTCCGACTTTGCCGTCATGGAGGTCATCACTTGGAATCGGGCACTCAGCAACGACGAGATGTGGACCAGCGTGGAGTACCTCAACAGGAAGCTTGAGGGAGCGCCCCGACCATGAAATGGCATACAAGAAGTTGTGATCAAGGGTGGTGTCGCTAGAAAAGTCGAAGATGGAAATGGTGCCAAAAAGCCGGTGGCGTTTTTTTAAGGCGACACCGCTTCGATTTCGGCAGGATCATGGAGCCAGACTTCACCATCTGCTCGGTTACCCGCTATACCGGAGGCACCATGCATGGCATTTTTCAACACGTTTCGCATAACTTGGCTCATGGCCACAGCGCCGAACATGTTGAAGTGGCCTAATACAACAGGTGGGTCGTCGACAAGGGTGTAAGCAGTAAGACCGACTGGCTCGTGATGCGCGGCACCAGCAATGCATCGCCTACAGGAGCAAGGAGAACTGGAACATTGGACACACTTCGGTGGTGAAGACCAATGGAGATGTCCACTTGCATCGATGCAATCGTGTAAGCCGAGGAAGGCATGAGCAGGAATGTGTATATGCATACATGCGCAGCCAGGCATTTAAACACAGACAGGCACAGGCACAAGGAGAAACACAGGGAGCAAGGGAGACAAGGAAGGGTCGAGACATGATGAGACAGCTCGACAGGGAGACACGCAGAGACAGACAGATCCACAGGTGTGCATCCGTGAATGTACATACACAGACTGACATGCCCTAACTGTTCACCGCTGTATGACGCTGAAGAGACCTCAATAGCTCGCTTTGCCTGGGTTCACCAACTCCAGGGTTCGACTCAGGGCCTTGGTTTCGTGATGTTCTGTGTGTTTGCCAAGGCCATCTTGCGGACATATCACGGCCGACCTACGCTTTGGCACTGCTGCATGATCACAATCTGCACATGTGGGCTGAGTGCTTTTCTCTCAGTGTCACCGCACGAGCGATCCCAGATTCCGGAGAAGAGTACCGCTGTGCCTACGGCCTGCGGCATGGGATACTCCAGGAAGGCTCGACACCGAACTCTCCGATTTCGCTGTTATGGAGGTGATCGTTTGGAATCGGGCTCTCTCCGGTGATGAGATCTGGCACAGCATGCTGTGCCTGAGCTCAAAGCTCGAAAACGGGGCGCAGTGATCAGAGTATACCTGCTTTTGAGGATGTAAGATATTCTCAGCCTCAGTCACTATCAGCTGGTCTTTGCGCAGCTTAAGCCATTATGGCCTAGCGGCAGGAGTTGCCGGCGCAAGGAAGGAGCACCGCGCAGTCCAAGCCGTGCAGGCCCCGGAGCCCCAAGACGCACCGCATTGTAGCGGGACTGACATGCCGGGCACGAAGGTATGAGAAGTGCTTACAGACAACATCCCATCGACTGGCATTTCGCATGGCTTTCACTGTGACCGATTGGAGTCGAGGGAAGCAGTATCATTTACTTGTACTGTAGATGGATTCTCGCATGTAACTTAATAGGTTTTGGTATATATGTGCCCATATGCATATACATACACACACACACACATATACACATACACACATATACACACACATACATACATACATACATACATACATGCATGCATGCATGCATGCATGCATGCATACATACGCTCTTGAAGCATCTTCAGTGGAGGCGATCAGGACCAGTATGTGATTCGATGCAGAGTCAGCGAGCTGGTGATGAGATGTGGGAGCCAAAAAAATGTATATGTATACATATACATGTATACATCTATACATATACATATATATACATACATACATATATATATATATATATACATATACATGGACACACACACGTATATAAACACTTACATGTTTATGTACATACATGTGTGTTTATGCTTTGTGCAGATGCCTACATATGTTGAGCTATGGTTTTGTACATATGCATCCGCGCCGCTATCTGTTTAACCGTTAGTCTATTCGCCCATTTCTCGAAGACTCTGTCGATCCATGGGGCGGTCCATCCATCTGCGCATGTCAACGCAAAAGCCGAGCCTGCCGGCACAAGTTTGGGACTGGGAATGTGTTGTGATGCCTGTTTTTGGACTTTCATAGAGCACAGCTACACAGCATCTGCATGGTCATCATATGCCTCCTCACTGCGCCCACTTTGGTGAATTCACGACCTGTCATGATGGGCTTCGGCCAAGCATTGCTCTTGCAGCGGCCGCCATGAAAAAGCCAACGCGAGCAGCTCAGTGGGTTTCAGCTTTATGATAGGATTCGGTGACAGCCGGATGTTTAGCGAAAGGTGGGTTGGGAGGGGCTGCAAATTCGTGGCAGTAGCAGTAGCCGTGGTCTTAGCAGTGGCAGTACCAGTAGCTAGAAGCAGCAGTTCAAGCAGAACTGCTGCTGGAAGTAGAAGTAGGAGTAGAGGTGGAGGCAGAGGTAATGGTAATAGACGGGCTTCATCGTCGTAGTCATAGTCGTAGTTGTGTCATCGGCGACGGCTGCGTACGATAGGCGTATCAGAGTGGCCCCAAGAAAAGACGGGAGCATTGTGCGACTAGTCTTGTATGAAGTGCATAACGTGATAGATCGCAGCACTATTGGAAGGGTATGTGTCAGCACAGCGCCTACTCCAGGCCTAGTCGGGGGCTCGGGGGTCAGGTTTGCTAGTGCCTAGATGTTGCAAAGTACAGAAGGCACAACACATCGTGGGTTTTTCCTTTCTGGTGGAATCACCCTCGACTGTCTGATTTCGGAGGGGATTATTCTGGGAGTGTCGCGGGTTTCCTTGGAAGGCAGTAGGCAGTAGGAGGGGCTGGCTCCACCTCCTCTCGCCCACAACCTCTTCCTGGTGCTGTCCGAACAGCCTTTCGCGTGCCCTGCGTTGTCACATGGTGGCCGCTCCGGTTGTGCCTGGAGTCCACTGGAGAGCCTGATGGCCACCACCTTGCAGGATGCAGATCTGTTTGCGCAACGGCATGACTGCTGTGCAGTGTGTTGATAGCCAGGGTCGTCCAACTGTCAGGCGAAACTTTGTGTAGCAGATTTGATCTGACAGGAGCTTTGTTCCAGTTGAGCTCGGGATGACCTCCCGATCATCTCGAGCTCCGAAGCGGCAGAAGCTGGAGGAGGAGCCAGCAGCAGGCGGATGCCTTTTTCGGAGTGGATTTCGGTGTTTAAGTTTCCAGGGCGAATTTCGAGGGTTCCGAGGTGCAGAAAGGATCCCCTAATTAACGCAATTGTAGCATGTCCCACTATTTACACACGATCTGCGGCCGTGACGGTTCTGCAAACTACTGCTTTGGTGAGGTGCAGCATGATTGTCATGATTTATAAACTCCCCTGGCTTGGCAAAGTTTGGACCCACAAGCGCTTGGATCCCGCGAGTACATGGTACGAAGCATACATGCCTGGGGAAGTGCACCTGTAGAACGGAAAAAAATCGGAAGCGATGTTGGGGATGGGGCCCTGAACATCTGTGGCATCTGTGGTAAGTGTGCCTGTGACTGCCGCCTGCACATGGCGGAAGGTGATTTTCGGATTTCTGCCCCTTGGAAAACGCTGGAAGCTCATCAGCCTCGGGGGTTTACGATTCTTATGGTGGTGTTCCTGGTGGTCTCCTGGATCATGGTCATGCTGCTCTATGATCGTTTGGGGATCTATGCTGGCATATTTTGGTGAATGTGGACATGTTGGCTTTAAGCTGCGTAAACTTAAACTCTGTGTTGGAACCAGGGATCCATTTTCCTCAACTCGACGACGCATAGCCCACAGCCTTGCAGCGAATGCTAGAGACATCGCGAAGGTCCATCCATCTCCCCCGTGGGTTCTTCATGATTTTTATAGCTCTGCGAGCAGGCAGCTACAACTACAACTATGCGGCCGCAGGCTACTCATTCCCTGGGCCCCTCGTCAGTAGCTTAGGGGCCCTGAACTCTGGGTTTTCATGTCGGCGACCTCCGAGGTACGTTGGCTACCAGTGGCCTGCGCAACAAGCAAGCCCCTATGCTTTGCCAGCTGCGTACAGTCCCCTGGCTGCTGATGTGTTCAAACTTTTCTGGACCTATGAACTACATGTTAACTGGATGGTACTTACCTGAGAGTTATAATTATGATGCATGCTGTCCCATTCAACTTATACTTTCGTCGCTTCGCATTCGCTGCGTGTTGTCCAGAGGGGACTGTTCTCATCAAGCCAGACTTGCGCGGAGTTCTTCGGTCCGGCTGGCGAGAGTTCGGCCAAGTTGAAAAGCCCCAATATCAGGTCTGCCTCCTGAGGCTATGACCAGGAGATAGAACCATACGATTTCTAGCGTTGTTCCACTTCGCAAAAAACAAAGCAAGCCCCGGACACTTGCAAGATGCGGATGCCTCGTAAGCTCGCCACCTCGGAGATGATGACAGAAAGCTTTAGGCTATGCTGCTACCTACGGTTATGGCAGCGCCTACTATGCTGCCGCTGCAGCCGCCGCCGCGGTGCAAGCGGGTGCAGGCCTGTATTGTCCACCCCACCGCTGTGTAGAGGTCACAACAGAGCGCATGTCGAAGGTCAGATGTATCTTGGCGTTCCAGAGGTACCTGTCGATGTTTGTAGAATTATATAGAATCACAGACCGGAGCATAACGTAATATGACACAGCACGGATGGCCGGGATTCCCAGGAGTAGCTGACTTGTTTTCAGGCGAGGAGACGGAGACTGAGCCGAGGTCTCAGTCTTCCAGCGGGGAATTCAGGCGTGGTACCGGTGGCAGAGGAAGTGCCAGAAAAGTTTCAGCTCTAAACCGGAAGCCCTGATCCCTTATGCGAATTCAGAAGTACGTAGCTTGCGACGCTTTTTGAGTTGTTCTTGAGGTACGAAGCCTTTGCTGGTATCGAGAGTCGTGCAGGATAGAGTACAGGTTATTTCCGGCGCTCTTGGTAAGAGGCCGCCTTTCTGATTTGTGGTCCTGATCTGGACTGGTCTGGCCATATATCCTCATCTAGCCTAAGCCCTTATAGTAACACCCTATCGTGACTCGGTAAGACACCCCGTATCATAAGTATAGAAGCCCAGGTCAGCGGTGGGGAAGAAAGGAGACTACGAGAACTTGCTTCAGGAGATGAAGGCCAAACAGGCCGAAGCATGGCTTCTCTTTCACCTACGAAGCCGAGAGTGAAGAGCCCAAAGCAAACCCTGTAGCAACCCCTGTGAGAGGTGTCTAAACGCCGTTGTAGAGGCCGGGTTTAAGGCAGCTGAGCAAAGCCCTCGTGGTGAGGAATCGCCCGCTGCTAGTGCAGAAGCGTAATGCATTACTGTTCCTTAGGGTTCCTTATCATGAGTACAGTATAACACATCCCAAACCCTATGTTTTGTTACGGCCCTATTCCAAAACTTCAAGTCTTTTTGGGTTTCTGCCCGATTTCAGGCGGCGCGCGCCGCCGGAGACTCCCAGCAGGAGGTCCAGGCAGTACTTTTGGGGGGGCCATTCAAGGGTTTCTTGGCAGGTTGGGCCTTTGGAATTCTGGGACTTGGCTGTTTCAGTTTGGGGAGTTGGAAGCCATCGCAAGGACAAGAAGCGCTTTCGGCTTCCTTCCGACGGCTCGGCGGACCAGTGGCGGGCTCACGGGAGCATCGAGGTAGTAGGGTTTAGGCGGTAGGGCTTGGGGGTACAAGCGTTCGAGAGTAGGGCTGTCTGGTTGCAAGCCAGTTGCAAAAAAGGGCATCAGACAGGGTTCTGGTGTCTAGGGTTCATAGAGGGGGCTTAGGGTTCTCAATCTCAAAGTTGCCGACAAGCTTCAGACAGCAACCTTCTGGGCCGAGGGGTCATGAGCGATGCAGATGCCATGTCGGTACTTCGACATGGGTGACAGGATGCCAAACTCCCTTGAGAAGCTAGAGTGCGGTCAGTCCGGTTATGCGCAGTCCTTGTCCCTCTCTCGCGATCTTTCTTTTTTCTTCCGTGCTCTCTCTCTCTCTCGTTCTGTCCTTCTCGCCCCCGGTTTAAAGGGGCATGCTCCATGCATGGGTGGAGGACATCTGCCCGTCCATCTCTCTTGCTCGCTCTTTCTGTCTCCCTCCCTCTATCTCTCTCTGTGTCTCGCTGCGAGCACTATCTTCCGCAGCTCCACATGTAGTACTTCGGACGGTCCAGCACAAAACAGACCCCGACTACTGTGTCCCAATCTTGTACAAGAAAGCTCGAAGAGGTCAACCCCGAAATTGCCAAGCAGTAGATAGCTCCACACGAAGGTTCGGACGCCTGGGCCGTGCGGTTTCCACCTCGCTCCGTGTGGCGGAAGGTCCGCCCACAGACGCAACAGGAATTTGGTTTTGCAATCGCTTTCGGTTTTTGGAGTATAGGGTTCGGACCTGGTTGAATTGCTGCGCCTGTCGGATCTCCGAGCGCACGCGAGAGGGAGAGTCGAGAGGGAGAGAGGGTTGGGCTTCAGGTGAAGGTTTGGGTTTTCTCACCCAAACCCTAAACCCTAAACCCTAAACCCTAAACCTTCCGAGCCGAAGTGGCTGAGAGCTAGCAGGTGCTTCATTGTCTCTGCAGCAGCTCTGCGAGGACCAGTCCCGGCTCTGAAACATAAGGGGGTTCTTCACTAGAAAGGGGCTACTTAGGCAAAAGTTAGGGTTTAGGGTTTAGGGTTTAGGGTAAGGTCTTGTTGTTGAGGGAACGTGAGGGTTCTATATATTGGGTACCTTCATGCTCTGAAGTTCCATAGAGGCCCTGACCCCTCAGCCCCCACTCTCTTTGCACGTCACTCTCTCTCTCTCTCACTCTCTGTCTGGCTGTCCGGCTGTCTCTGTCCTTCTCTCTTTCTCTCTCTCGCCTACTCCCTCGAGCCCCCCTCTCCCGACACGGCATTTTGGATTCATGAGAACACGATAAGAAAACGTGGTGACACGGCGGCGGCAAAACCTCGCGAACAACTGCAAACGCATCTCGCTGCAATTTGGTGGCAACCCCCGGCAGCCCCGGAGCCTAAACCCTTCCGTGAACCCCGCAGCATGCCAAGGATGGCAAGGCATGACGAGCCATGCAAGCATCAGCCCTGTAAGACGTAAGCCAAACCGTAAGTCTCACAGGCTTTTGACCCCGGGCTGAGGAACATGGACTATAGAAGTTGATCCTGAAGTACTGTTTTTTTGGGCTCCTTATGATTATATACTTACAGAATAGGTAGTATACACCATCTTGTTCTAATTACTAAGGCCTTGTTTGCCCTATACTAAAACAACCTTGTTCTGAGTCTTAAGCCCCCTAGAGTGAAGGTCTTCAGCCCTACCCTGAGCCTGCGACAATCTGCAGCCCTGCAGGACAAGCGCATCCACCAGGAGAGCCCTAGCTGCAGAGTCCTGGGCCTTGCCTCCGGGACTTCAGGTGGGTAGTTTTCTAAATTAGGGTCCCTTTTTGGGTCCTTTTTTATAAGGGTGCCGTACTATATTGGGGACCTCAAAAGGGACCCTAATTTAGAGAACTACCCAGGTGCAGAGGAGCAATGTAATGTTGAGGTACTCGTAGTGATAATAACTAACAGCTCGCGATGCCAACGCTGGTCATACTAGCTTTGGCACTCAGTCCTATAGTATTGATAGTGAAACAGTGATGCTAATACGGATACCATGGCAAATGACAGCTCAGAACATTAATGGAGGTCTCGCAGACCGCTGCTTTGTTGCTTCAGGTTCCGGGGTTTCCCGGAAGCTTAAGCTTTACAGCTTTCCATAATACTGAATAATGACAAAAAGAACAACATGAACAATAAGAACAATAATGACAACAATAACAATAAAGACAGTAATAGCAACACTAACAATAATCACAATAATAACGAGAAGTACAACAACATCATTAAGAACATCAGTAATCACAACCATAATAATGCTCATCACGATAATGACCCTAACAGTCAAATATCAGGACCTCAACAAGAATGAAGCTCCGAAACGACTCCGAGGTGGAAGGAGCTGGAGAAGAGTGGCTTGGTCAAGCCCAACAGCGGGTGCCCGAGCTTCTTCAACACTAAACCCTAAACCCTAAACCCTAAACCCTACAGTAACCTGGCGGGAGCTTGGTGGAGGGAGGGAGGGTCGCTTGGCCACCTCAAACTTGAACCTGTCTTCCACCAGCAGACGGAGACTGACTGCGGTGTGTGCACTTCGTCTTTTGCTTGGTGAAGTGTCTCTTGAGTTGGTAGTGATCGGATGTGTGTAGAACAGGTATATGTATGTACACAAGGATTTACTTACATATCAATCTAATCCGGACGACAAGGCCAATTGAAGACCTTCCTCTTGGAACGAGCGACATCTTTCGAGGAGTGATGGGGCCGTTGAGAATTCGTGCCATCAGGACTTTGGGGGCTTCGTCCGTGATGTCCACTTCTTGCGACGGTGTTTCAGAGCGTGACAGGGTTGTGAGCATCGAGTAGAACTGTGGAGCCGTTCGCGGCCTCATCGTGTACCTAGTCGTCGAATCAGCTTATCAGTATGAGCTGTAAGACATCAATCCTTTGCGTGTGCATGGAGGTGTCAAGCAGTCCTTCCGGTCAGGCGGGGGCGGTTGCTCGTGATTTCATCTGTACAGATGCCCCACCCCATGGTAGTCGGAGCATCATCCACATTAGCAGCACATGGAGGGCGTTGCATTCGGAATGGATCCTGACAGATTGCGCAGCAGGGTTGTAATGTAGGTGTGCGTGCTTCCTATGGATTCTCGTGGCAGATCATGTGGAGAGGAAGCAGCTGCAAGTACCACGTGCGTATATGTCTGCATATGTAGGTATATGTATGTTTATGTATTGTACATCTTTCTGTTTGTATGCATGCATGCATGCATAGATGCATGGATGTGAAGCTATATATGTGCGTATACACGTGCGGACGGATTGGCGGATGGATGGGCGGATGGAAGGATTGGATGGATGGATGGATGCATGGGTGGACGCAGGGAAGTATGCATGTATGACTGGATGGTTCAATGAGCAGAACTAGCATAACACATGGGTGCATTAGTATGTGTTGTGCACATGTCGCATATATGTTGTATATGTGTTGTGTGCATAATATGTATTCATGCATGTATGTATGTATGTATGCATGTATGCATGTATGCATGTATGCATGTATGCATGTATGCATGTATGTATGCCTGTATGTAGGTATGTAGGTATGTAGGTATGTAGGTAGGTAGGTATGTATGTATGTATGTATGTATGTATGTATGCATGTATGTCTACACATACATGTCGTAGGAAATGTGTCTCTCAGCGCATGTACATGTGGTTTTGGGTCCCTGCAGCTGAGGCTGGCTCGAGAGCACAAGAGAGCTTGCAACTCCCAGGCAAACCTCGTCGAGTCATGGCGGCCGCCCGAGCACGCTCCGGCCTTCTCGCGTCCCTCCTGGTGTCCTTTGGCCTCGTCTCCTTGGTCTTCGTGCCGGCCCCACGTGCTGAGTCCCCCTCCCTGAGGGGCCTTGCTGGCGCCGCCAGCATTGCCGCAGCACCCGGAGTGGCCTCTGCGGCCGATGAGTACCTCAACTACAACATGACAGGGGAGTTCACACCGTTCATGGTCATCGGCTACTTCGGCTTGACCACCTTCCTCACGGCCTTTGCCTTTGGCTCCTACCTTGTTTTGACGAAGCTGAAGATCATCTGAGATGCCTGAGCCTGCACATGTAGATTCTCGATTAGCTCAGTCCAGCCCCATGTTTTTCCAGAGTAGGCTGCAGAAAGCAAGAAGCTAGAACGGACACACGGCCATGTGCCCGACAAGGCCTGCTTGGCCCGAGCATGATTGACGCAAAACGACCGATGAGGAGGCGATAGTAGGATTGCAGCTACGAGTTCCCTCGTTGATGTCTCTCTCGGTTTTTAGGGCCTAGGTATAGGCCGCCACCCTGCGCCACCAGTCCGCGCTTCACTCTCTTGTGACAGGCCATGGTGAAGCTAATCGGAGAGGCTGTGCCGGTGCCGCAAAGAAAGGGTTGGAGTCCGATAGAAGACGTTTCTGCAAAGCTCGAAGTCTACGTCAGGTGTCCTGAGAGTTGAATCCCAAATTGAGAGTTGGGTCACCGTCCTCGGATCTAGGCCGCGCTGCAAGAGTCCCAAACAACTTCTTGGACGTGTCGATGCACCCTAAACCCTAAACCCTAAACCCCCTAAACCCTAAACCCAAAAACCCTAAACCCCTAAACCCGAAACCCTAAAACTGTTAACCCCAAGGTCTCAAGTTATAGACTCCAAGCTCCCAATCCTTGAGCCCAGAGCCCTCAGCCGCGAGCCATGCGCGAAGTAGCATCTTTGTGCTGTTTCAGTGAGTCTGAGTGTCGCTGTTGTGATTCCGACGCTTTCATGGTCATAATCCCTTAACAGGTCGAATAGGGTTTTAGGCATATTGTTGCTGGAAGCATTCAGGGACTTTCAGGGGGAATTGTTTCTATTTCTATTTCATCACTGTCCCCTTTGCGTGGTGCATTTCTTAGTCAGGCCGCGCCGGCCCTCGGGGAGGCCGGGTCCACATAGGGTGGCTGCGGGATCTAATGGGGTGCTGCCAGGCAGCTGAATTCTTCAAGATGAGCTCCCCAGTTCTGGACCGCTCAAGCGGATGGAAGGAGTCCTTCCCCTTGAAAGTTCGCACTTGCTCACGCCTGCTGTCGCGCTGTACTACAGTAATCATGACCAGACCACCACCATCATCATCGACGCCAGCACCCGGCCGGTGTCAGTTTCATCATAGCAGCAGCATCAGTGCTATCACCATACCCTCATCAGCACTTCATGAGCAGAACCACCTTTGCCCCGTTGCAGTCGTCACCTTCAGATCTTTCATCGCCACAATCTGAATACTCGTCGTCATCACATCATTACCAACATCATCCTCAACATCAACATCAGTCGACACCATCACCATTATCATCACCGCCATCATCAGCTTCATCGTCATCATCATCATCATCATCATCATCATCATCATCATCACCGTCATCAACATTCACGAGCCGTCGTTGTCCCTCTGGCAGGTTCCCGCCATCGATGCCTACCTCAGGAAAGCCGGAGGCTCTGAGCGCGTCTCGCGCCTGTCCGTGCTCTTCGGCGTGGACGAGGCATAGTTGTCCGACTGTGCGGTGAGGGCATGGGTGCCCGCAAGAATAGAAACGGAGAAGCATTCACGCTGTGGGACCTGGGTGAATAGATGTCGATAGGATCCGTGGTTTGTAACATGTAGTGTCAAGTCCAGACGTGCCCAGGACATTGAAAGCTTTAGTCCGAAACTCCTGATGCTAGACGCTAGAGCTCAAAACGGATGCATCGTAAGCCGCAGGCTGGACTGGCCCGGCATTTCTGCATCTACGAGGCAGGAGTTCCTGGTTTGGAGCCATGTTACTGGGGTTTGTCACGGGTCATGCCGTCAGCTACATCTGATGTTGGCGGGGCGGCTTTGCACTCGTCCCTTGGATCGGTTACGAGAGCAATGAAACGGCAAGCAATGCACGAGGAGAACGGCCGGAAGTATGCGTCGCCTGGGCACCTTGGCAGCACTTGCCTTGTCTGAGACACCGCCTAGTGCTGAGTGGACCACAGAGTCTCCATGTCGGTCCGGTAAAGTCTTTATGCTTCCAATTCCAAGCTAGAGAAGACTGGCTTGGGCTCCGAGTGTGAACGTGAGGAAGCTTAAAATAGTAGGGTCCTGATCACAAAGATCGCAAAGAGGGCCCCCCGAGTCTCTGAAACAGCTAAACATGCCAGGAAAGCTTCCAACAGTGCCACGCAGATCGGGAGCAAGACGCCCCTGGACAAGACGGCCATTTGTCTCTGCAAGAGAGTTCCGGCTTTTGGTGCCGGTCCAGTGGGCCTGGGATCAATCAAGGGCTTGCGCGTGGGGTTTCTTTGACGAAACACAGAAAACACTGCAGCTGAAGACACCGCATCAAAGGACACGGCTACGGTGGTTTCAGAGAGCTCCGTCGTCGACCGGGAGCGTGAGCTCAAGGAGCTTCGGCAAGGCCAAAGCTTCAGGCCATCAGGCTACGTCGGGTCCTGTGTCGCCTTTGCAGTCTAATTAGGGTTTTGTGATCATGTCTGAATGCGGACGTTGCGTCAGCTGCCAAGATGGCAAGGTGCATATACCCGTCACGAGTGAAGACAACAAGTAGAGGAGCTTGAGAATCACTTGGCGGGGCTCACTCGCGCACGGTGCCACATCGCGAAGGCCAGGATAGCTCGCTGGCGTGACGGGTTCATAGGTCATGGTTTTGCAGAATTCATGACGGGAGACGCATGGCAATGTGTACCCACAGCAATAGTCAACATGGCAGTAACACTTGCAAGAGCATCACCATGATTAGCACATGTGCCAGCCTCATCGTCATCATCATCCTCATCCTCATCCTCATCCTCATCCTCATCCTCATCCTCATCCTCATCCTCATCCTCATCCTCATCCTCATCCTCATCATCCTCATCCTCATCCTCCTCATCATCATTACCATCATCATCATGGCAATTAGCATCACCATCACCAGCAGCATCGCTTCGCCCGCAACAAGAGCAGTCGCCGGAGCTAGCGTTGCAATCGGAAGCTTGAGGTGCAGTCGCTTGGTTTAGTGAAGCTCTGAGCGGAAGGCGATGATCTACTGCCTGGACTGCGCAGAGAGCGCCCCGATGCTGTCGCGAGCTTTAGCCAAGTCCTTGGAGGACCTTGCCCGCTCGTCGCCCGAAATCCCTACATACACTGGAAGCTAGACAGGACAGCTTTGATTTGTGACGCCGGCACGCCAGACGTGTGGGAATGCCCGATTGTCCAATCTTAATGAAGGCCTCTTCAAACGTTAAGGTCGTAGCTCCCACTTGAAGCGATTTGTCTTACAAGACTTGCCTTTGGTCTCTCATGTGTAGGTCTGCAACAATCAGCAATCACATAACCTCTTGATGCCTCAAGAACTTTACCATAGCTTACCCCAAGACCCTAGTCGAAGTAGGCCCCCGTAATAGAAGCCTTATGAACTGTTGTAGCCCTTACGGAATCCCTTACAGAACCCGTAAAGGAACTAGACTACAACATGCCCCGGCTGAAGAGCTCTCTTGTCTCGAGGTGCAGTATCAAAAGTTTTAGGGACCCCAGGAACCAACCTTTCAGCTGCAAAAAGCCGAAAACTAGGTTCCCTCGTACCCTTTTAGGGCTCCCTTATGAAAACCAAATGCTAGTAGCAGGAACAAGGGTACCATTGGAAGACTTCTGGTTTCTGGTATGTTGACGTGTGGAAATGATTGCACGAGCCTGACTTCCTCGGTGCTATGCTCATACCTCAAAGTGCTTAGCATTTTGCCAGAGATTGGTTTCAAAACCCTTGCATTGTGCGAAAGTGGCAACTCTACCAATATGGTGGAGTTGTTGCATGTCGCCCAGGGCCCACAGACAGCTTGAATTTACTTGGATGATGTCTTAACCCTGCTTTGCGACTCGCTCAGCCATGCAGGAGGCAAAAAAGGGTACCCTTCTCATGAAGGGGCTTCTTGGGAACTTCGAAAACGAAGGCCCAAACGCTTCACGCCAAGGCCTTCAAGCCTCCTTGACCCAAACTCAACCATATCGCATCAGCAGCAACGACAGTGGTAATTGGAATGGAAGTCGTAGTCTGAGGCACAAGGGTCAGTCTGGAACTGGGAACCTACGGAAACCCAGCGATGGTAAACCAAAGGCAGCAATCACATGTAAAGAGTAGCAACAATGCCGCCCCAATCCTTAAGCCCGAAACCTTAGGTGGACCGAAGAAGGTCTCAGAATTATGGGAAGAACCGTTGAGAACCCAAACCCCAAATAGGATCCTGCGCCTCCGAACCTCACCTCCTCGCCAGCAGAGTCCCATTTATTTGGGCCTCCGGCTACAGGAGCGCGAGCTGACCATCGACGCCGGCCTGGCCCGGTGTCTGGCATGCCCTAAGCCCTAGACCCTATTACTTTAGCGTGGCTGGAGACAGAGACCTCGTCTGGCGGTGTCCGAGTTGCGAGAGCGTAAACCCGAAGCATGCACGTATGTATGGATGTGATGGGGTGACGTGATCTGATATGCAGGCCTTTCCGTGGCAGAGGTTGAGTCCCGGTTATGCGCGTGTCTGTGTCGAGTCTATGTCACTCACTGACACACACACACATATGTCTAGAGACGCACATGTACATGTACTGCATTCAATATTATGTGAACAGGTGTATCGTACGTGTCTTCTGTACTGTGGTCATCGCGTGTAGTATGTGTAGTAACGATATGCGTGCGCACATTGTCGTAAACTACTTGTATGTTTGGTGAAGGGTTTCAGAGTTCTCCGGTTACTTAAGCGTCAGGTTTATGACTACCAGCGGCTCATACTTTGACTCCCAGTGTTCTGTTCCGAAAATTCAGTGTTTAATTTTCGCCTATGTTGTTACACCGTGCTTTGGCAGCCTTCCACCGTATGTTTATTGGTCCGATGCGAATTGTGAGGATGTCTATGTGTACCAGCTTTATACCGAAGATTTGCCATGTCTGGCAAATTGGAGTGGCATATGACACTCGACCACACATCACTTCAACATGTTGAGAGAGTAGTAGTAAAGCCTGAGTCTGTGTTTTGCAGGTTTTTGACGAGAGTTTGATACATATACTAGGCTGCATGAGCTGAATGCTCACATGCTTCACTGGGGAGTAGTCGGCGTGCCTGGCCTTATCCACACATATTTTTATGCTTTCTCTTTCACAAATGTCTCACTGTTAAACCAAAACCCCCCACCAAACCATATGCCCCTCTTCCTAAATAGCCCTCCCAGCACGATAGCTTGCCGGCACACGGCGAGTGCTGAGGATTTTCCTGATCAGCGACATCCTCCATAACTCCGCCTTGAGCAGCTCTCGTGGCGCAACTCGCTACCGGAGCAACCTGCGGCCCGATCAAATCTGAGGATGTTTCGAGCTCTCTCTCGCTCTCTTTGTCTCTGTCTCTCTGTTTCTCTGTCGGCTTTATCTAGACAAGAGAGATACACCAGGAGAATACGGGAGGGCGAGAGCGCGAGAGAGGGCATGAGAGCGAGAAAGAGAGGCTTCTTAGGACCGGCGAAAGAAAGCAAGAGACAGACTGCAGGCCTCGTAACTGCCTTGCCAAGAGGAATTTGTTGTGGGGATCCGGATGTGGTCGAGCTTTGCAGCTGTGTGCTGAACCTCTGCTGGATGTCGACGCTTTTGCTTGTTGCCTGACATCTCGATACTATTTCCCGAAGAGTAGGTTTTCTCTCGGTCACTCGCTGTGGGCCGCGCGCAGCAAGCAGCCTCGCAACCTCCTCCTGTGCTACGCAAAACACTCTCTTTTTCCAAACGCCTACGCAAACTTCCTGCTTGTGCACAGGACTTGGGGTAGGCAGGCTGAGGGCTAAATCTTGGAGTCAATCGATTCCTGTTATTTGGTGGCCTCACTCAGGTGGTTACAGCTGCTTGTTGAATATTCGCAACCTCAGTTCCCACCTGCTTGAAGCCCCCGACCCGAAACGGAAGTTGCCAAGCGGCGAAGCGAAACAAAGCATGTAAGTCGCTTCTCAAGTTGCAGCCGAGGAATCCTACTGATCAGACCATAGGGGCCTAGGTGAAGCCCCAGACAGTAAAACCCCTAAACAAGGTCTCCCGAATGCGAAGAACCCCTTCATATAGAGCCCAAACCCAGGCCACGAAGGTCCCTCCTGTTCGTCCTTCCCCTTTTAGAACCTCTATCAAACTCTTATCCAGCATCTGTAGATGGCCTTCAAATAAGTACCTCGAAGTTTACATCAAGAAACCCCATGCCCATTCCCCCCCCCGCCCACAGAATCGCAGGCAAGAGTTGCTTCCGGGGGCCTGCGAGCAGTTTGGCTTCTGGCTGCGCGGGAAAGGGAGGCAGTCGCTGAGACAGTCCCGGCCTGAAGCGGCTGCTTGGATCTTGGGGACTTAGCTGAAAGGGGAGTGCGAATAACAAGAGTATCATAGTCATAGCACGTCTGCCATTACGTGCCCGTGCCCAGCGAGACCCTCGAGGATGGCACGGCACAGAGAGAGAGAGAGAGAGAGAACGTCTGACATCGATGCCAGCCTTGTGTTTATGATGGCGAGTAGTAGTTAGTAGTACTGCTATTGCCGCTGTGGGCACGAACGCAAAAGCTTAGTTTTGAATCCCGCGCCCAGGCCAGTTGACAGACGGCCCAAAACATCACCGCGCTGTCTTCGAGTTGCGAGAGTCGAGCCATTGATCCCTAAAGTTCGCAGAGAGGAGCCCAAACCGGAAATCTGTTGAAGGAACCCAGACCCCCAACCAACTCTGAACCTGAGGCTGTCCGGCAAGTCCTCGACTGCTGGCGCGACTGGTCGCGAGGCAGTTATTAGCGGATCCTGTCCCGTATTCTTGAGAAGAGGCCACATGGATCCCAAACGCCAAGGCAGAACCTAAAGCCCCAAACCAAACAGCCCTAGACCTCGTCCAGCTTGTCCGAGTTGCGAGAGCCTAAACCCAAAGCTCGAGGCAAACAAAGCCCCAAATCCTTCAAGACAACCCCCTTCAAGGGACCCTTTCCAAAAGTTCCCTTTTCACCCTGTAAAGAAAGCTTTACCAAAAAGGAAGCCTTTCAGGAACCCTTCAAGGAACTGAGTGCGCCTCCAAGAAAAGCGGGCCCAGGTCCATCTTCCCGCCTCTGTTCCCCGCTGGACTCGAGGCGCTTCTCTTTGCGGAGATACCGGAGGTGGGGGTTGGGGGCCATAATTAGAATTTGGTGCCCATTATACTACAATTATAATAAGGAACCCACCCAAAAATGGTACAGGTAATTATTTAGGCTGACGGTTTCTTTTGTTTCGGGGCTCTTTGAAGGGGCCTTGGGATTCCTTTTGAGTGGGGCCTAGGGTTCCTTTAACGGGAATCCGTTTTCGGCTCCTTAAAGGGCTCCTTCGAGGGTGCCGCAGAGGCTTATGACTTCAAGGAGAACTCCTCTAAGGGGGGTCTTCAGGAATGGCAGATTCCTTGTTAAATTCCTTCAAGGGTTCCTTGAATAACAAGTCTCTAGCGGTTTGGGGGTGAGTTTGGGGGTTAAATGCCCAGACACAGCTGCGGTGCTCAGCTTAGGACACCGATGCGATGGCCAAGAGCGATCAGGATCCGGAGCTGCAGGTGGCTGAATTGAGAAGCAGAGGTGTCGGCTTCGAGCCATTTGTTTTGGACTCTTTTTGGTGGCTCCATGTTGCTAGAAAGGCGAAGCTGGCGCATTGGCAAGATCCAGGCACGTCGCTAGAGGGTCTTGGGAACTTCAGTGTCCGAGTTGCGAGAGTCTAAAACATTAAGCCCTTGAGTCTTGAATCCTCAGGCCCGCCGAGACAGTTCGCACCGAAGCCTGCTCTGCCTTTCCTTCCTCGAAGCCCTCATATAAGCCTTAAATGTGGTCTTAATCCTAATCCTACCTCGTGAAGCCAAGGGGCTTTCCAAACCAAGCCCCCTAAAAAGACCCCTAAACCCTAAGCAAACATTCCCTGAGGAGGAAACCCCAAAGCCCAAACCCAACCCTAAACCCTAAACCCTAAATCCTACAAAGCCCTGCGAGGCACCGCGCCCCGGGCCCCCTACGCCGCGCGGCTTCGGGGCCTGGCCAATTCCACGCTTCCCGCGGCGGCTTGCGCACCTGGGACCCCTCATAGGGTTGAGGGTTTAGGGTTTGGGGTTTGGGGTTTGGGGTTGGGGGTTTAGGGTTCAAAAAGGGTTTAGGGTTTAGCGATGAGGTTTTGGATGCTGCTGTTTTTTTAAATCATTTCCCCGGCCGACTTTCCCAAGCCCGGATGCAAAAAGGGTGTGGGGTATCGGGTTTGCGGGTTTTTTTTTGGATCTTTGGGGGTGGGTGCTTGGGGATCTTCTGGATTTCGTGGGTTCGTGCTTTTCGAAGTTTCTTGATGCTGGACTTTTGTGTTTAGAGTGTGGGGGATTTGGAAAGTTGTGGTTTCAGGTTTCGCCAGTTTTTGTGGTCATGTTGGACACGGCCGATAATTAAGCTGCTATGCTCCTTCGAAGCTGCCTCTTGGAGCCAAGAGGGCTGCACTTTCTGCTGCCAGAGACGAAAGCTCAGATCACGAGTTTGCTTTGTGAAGTCGCACCGTCCGAAATGGTTTGGTGCTTTTGTATGGATTTTGGGGTCTGGGTTGAGGTGTGGTACCGCTTTGGGTTGGGGCTTGGGCCGGGTGTCGGGTGGAGCAAAGCGTTGTTGGTTGCAGAGCAGCGGCAGAAGCAAGATTTTGTGATGTTAGTAGTGATGCTTTTCCTCTGAATCCTAATCTCTAAACCCTGACCCCTAAACCCTAAACCCTATATACACCCTGCCCTACATAACAGGTGCTGCGGCTGTGCCACTTCGAGCGCTTCTGGCACCGTGCCGACCCTGCCCGGCGGCAGCGTGCGGGGATCCGATCGCCCGGCGAAGGGGAGAAGGCGACATCCTTCAAGATTGGTTTAGGGTTTAGGGTTTTAGGGTTTAGGGTTCAAAGGTAGTATCAGGGAGACTCCCCAAAACCCTAACTCCTGTAGATGCAAGACTGAGGAGGCACGGAGCCGTTCAAGTACAGCATGTAAACAGTGTAAAGAACGCTCGCCATGCATACGTCTTCATGTACAGGCGTACAGCAGACATACAGGCAGACGAGGTACAGACACATAGACATACATGTACAAAGACATACAGACATACAAGCACACAGACACCGACACACGGACATACAGACATGCACACATATATGTATGCGTGTATATACATACATACATATATATATATATATATATGGATATATATATATATATGTATACAAATAAATCATGCATAACCGTACATACATACATTTTGCCATTTGCTTGCTTTCAGTGGTGTACACAGCTTAATTAGGGCTTGCACTGGCA